CCCCATGTTACACACACCTGCCTCCATGTTACACACACCTGCCCCATATTATATCCCACACTTGCCCCATGCTATCCTACAGCCACACACACTGTTGGTGTTCAATGAGTCATAGTTACTGGGTATCTTAGAGCAGCACCACAGAGCAACCAAGGAGTCACATGACCTAGTAACTACATCCATCTTAGGAAAGAGAAAACTGAGTCAAAAATGGAAAAGCTGGATCAATATCTCATTTCTAAGAGCACTTACTGCCCTTTCAAAGGACCTGGGTTCAGTTCCTGGCACCCACATGACAGCTCATAACCATTTGTATTTTGAACTTCAGAGGATATGATGCCCTCTTCTCTCCTCCATGGGAACTATATGGATGTGGTGCATACTGTATTCATGCAGGCAAAACGTATTTACACGAGAAAAAAATCATTTTTAAAAGAAATGCTGATGTAGTTCAATTCAGGTACTTGGAGGAAAATGAAAAAGGACACTCTCCCTGCTCACAGTGTTATCACTCAGATACCATGTGAATGTGGGTCACAAATGAAACCTCAGTGACCCAGAAGGCACGGCAGTATCAGGGCAGGAGGGCAGGAGCAGGGGACGAGACAGGTACCTTCACTGAGGTCCAGACATTTCTTCCCACAGACGAACAGGCAGCACCTTTGATCCGCTGGACATGGTTTGTTTCGTGAACACTGGTCTCTTTCTTCAAAACTACACTTTACTTTATTCTTTGGACATGATCCTACAGGAGGAGAAGATGTGGTCCCGTGAGGGGTTGGAGGAGACATTGTTCCTCCTTCCCAGTCTCAGGGGACCCCTGCAGAGCTCAGGAAGCTTGTTTGTCTCTCACCTGTCACTAGGAGGGGAACCCCCAGCAGCTCGGAGTTCACAACACTGGTCACATCTCCAACTGTAATGACTCAGCATCTACTCTCAGGACCTTCTCTATTCCTTTTTCCCCAGAGAGACCCACCCCTTTGGAACTGTTCTGAGCATTTGGCTTTGCCCTTGGTTGGCCCCTGTTGCTCTCATCCTTTGTCTAGATTGCTGTTTTGAAGGCTAATGTGACAAAGTTTGAAAAGCCTTGGTCAAGCAAGGTGCCTTGGTTAAATGGACAGCGGTTAAATGGTCCTACTGAAGAAGTACTTCTGGGGTATAGTAAGTCATACTGAAGAAGTGCTTCCAGGGCACTTGGCCATTCTCCTCACTCCTCACTACAAAATTATGAGTGGGCCTGGTCAGTGTTGCACACACAGAACAGAGGACCCAGAGCATGGGGAGGCTGCTTGGACTTGTGCAGAGTCACACAGCTCCTGAGGAGTGGAGCCAGAATTCCCGCCTGTCACGTGATCTCCTAAGCATCCACTTTCCACCACCTCCTTCTAGTGCTCGAATCTCCATGCATCCTCCTAAGGGACTCCTGGGAGCTGCTCTTTAGCACACAGGGAAGGGCCTCTGTGATACAGGAAAGCTTTGGGGAGCTGCAGTGGGCAGGTTTGGGAGCTGATGGGGTGGTGCTAGGAAGAGGCTAGGCCTTCAGTGGAAATCCCTTTGGCTATTTAATCCCCAGGTCCATTTAATGTGCACAAGTCCCAGCACTTCCATGAAGAATTCTTTATAATGGAGAGCCAACCACCACAGACTGGGGAGCTGTGTTCAGCCAGGCTGTCTTTCCACTGACTCTAAACATCACCCCGATGCAGGGCCTGGGGCTGAGGTGGGGGAGACACTGTCACCTGCAGCGTGCAGTGAGGTCTCTAACCTCAACAAGTTTCTTCTCTCCATGCTAAGAACTGGACTCAGTACTTACTGATAAAGAACCCCTCTGCTGGCTCAGCTTCCCAGATACTCCACAGGAAGATGAAGGGGATCAGGAAAGGCAGAAGTCCCCAGAGTCTCATTTTAGGAAGCCGTCGCCCGTTTAGAGGCATTAAACCAGGAGGAGCTGGTCAGTGGCTCCAGCCTCCACTGCGTGCCCCAACAGTCCAGGAAGCAACTCTGGACATGAGCCAGCTACGTTCCCTCCCCAGATGCCATCAGTGCGAGCTGTACCCACAGTGCAAACTGTGGGGGAAAGGGATCTGGCATGCTGGTCTGGGCCTCTGCAGTCAGTGGCTCTTGGGCTGTGGCCTACTAGGGAGAGGAGAGAGGGGCAAAATTGCTTGGGCTCTTCTAGAATCTCATCGCAAAATTGTATGAATTCCAAAACTTTCCTTTTCCCAGAAGCCAATTGGGGTTTGGAAATACTTTGCTTCTTTTTCTCTGTGATTCCTCTCCTCTTACGTACTGTTTTTTTTTTCTCTTTGTCTTCAATCCTCCCTTTCGCCTCCATCCTTTTCTCCTATTCCTTCTTCTTCCTCTCTTCCTCTTTCCTTCCCTCTCTACATTCTTCTCTTTTCCTTGAGACAGGATTTCATCTCCTCCAGACTGGTCTCAAACTCGCTAAGTAGTAGAAGTTACTGATCCTGATCTGTCTGCATCCACCCCCACACACTGGGATCGCAGGTCTGCATCACCTCACCCAGTGTATGTGGGTCTGGGGGTGGAATTGGGGCTTCATGCGTGCTGGGCAAGCAATGGACCGATTGAGCTGCATACTGTTCTGGTCGCTGATTTTTCTCATCTCTGGGCTAATTATCTGTGGCTTTGACCCTGTGCCTCCTTTTTCTCCTTTTCTTTTCTTTTCTTTTTTTTTTTCTCTCTTTTTTCTTTTTTCTTTTTTTTCTGAGACAGGGTCTCTCTGTATAGCCCGGGCTGTCCTGGAACTCACTCTGTAGACCAGGCTGGCCTTGAACTCAGAAATCCGCCTGCCTCTGCCTCCCAAGTGCTGGGATTAAAGGCGTGCGCCACCACTGCCCGGCCCTTTTTCTCCTTTTCAATGTCTCTCTGCTTGGATCTCTTTCTCTTTACCCTTCAACTCCCTGTGGATATCCCCTCTCTTGTCTTTGGCTCAGACATTATCTTTAGTCACCACCGAAGAGTAAAGACTGTCGAGTGTGCATGACCTCACCATTCCCAGTGAGAACTGGGTCAGGAGATGGCACCTCTAAGGCAGGAGAGCAAGAGAAGCTGAGAGCCTCTGTCCCAAGGACAGGTTAACAGGGTCCACAAGAAGCAATGGTTCAGTCAGCTGCAGGAGGGACAAAAGTGGCTCTCTCATTGCTCTGGAATATTCCCTCAAGTTAAATCCTGAAGCATTAGTGAAGGAGAGACTGCAGTGTGGACCCAATGTGAGCCATCCAAGGGTAAACTGAGGCAGGGACTGCTGACTGCAGGCATATACACTTGACTCAGCCATCTACAACTGTAGAGACAGTTCCGTGGTGTCTGCTTTGAGGAACTGTGCTAGAACTCCATCCGATAAAATAGACCATTTTCAGGTCAACAATTTCAGGTCCTTCTTAGAACATTCATGAGCTTGTGAGTCATATCTGCTGGTTCTGAAATCTTTCTATCTCCTCAGCTGTGGACCCTGTTTCCTGAGCAATCACTACCTAGCCTCCTGCAACTCACTCCAGCCCCTGAGACTGCTTCCTGTCTTGTAGAGTTTCCTGCTCTCCCTGACTTTGCCTGTGTTGGGTCTTCATTCCGGCACCTCACGCAAATGCTCCACCTCTGAGCCATATTCCTAGCCTTCTCTTTTCTTTCTTAAAATTTTGAGAGAGACCATCACTACCATGCCCCAACTGGCCTTAGATATGTAATCCTCCTGCCTCTTGATCTGTGATCACGATGTGATCACAGGCCTGAGCCACCATGCCTGACTCCTGCCCTGGACATTTCTCCTATATGAAGTCATACAGTAAAGTATGTGTATGGAGGGGGTGGGAGGATCAGAAGGTAATCTCTGGGGCTGGTTTTTTCCTCTTCTGCCTTGCTCGAGGCGGTCTCCTTGTATTTTGCTTCTGTAGCATATATTCCAGGGCAGCTCGCCCATCAGCTTCTGGGGAATTTGTCTCTGTCTCCTACCTTCACTGTAGGAACACTGGCTTTATAAATGCATGCATCACTACAGCCAGCTTTCTATGGGTTCTGAAGATCTAGACTTAGCTCCCTAAGGTGAGTGTTTTACCCACCTCCAAACTCCACTCTTCCACATGTGCTTCCCACAAAACTCAAGCAAAGAAAGCACAGTTTCATGAAAATACACTTTCATGTTTTGTGTATGTTGAGGATCACAATCAGCAACACTCGCTGCAGATCTCAGAGATGCTAAAAGAATAACAACGATATGTGAATTATCTCAAATCGGCCCGCAATGTATACATCTCATATTTCATTCTACCCCATAAAAATGTGCAACTATCATTTGCCGAGGAAAAGTTAAAAGAAAAAAGGGTAAGGTGTACGATGTTCCAAAGCCAAGAGCTGTGTTGTATGAAAAACCGAAAGCAGGTGTTGAGAGAGACGAGAACGCCAAGATAAAGCGGGCGAACTAAATCTAACCGAAACCACGAAGAGCAATGTTATCCCAAGTACTGGAAACCAAATGACAGTGTATCACAGAAACTACACGAAGGACTTAAAAGGCAAGTTCTTGAATGGCATTCCAGACACGCGGAATCTTAATTCTAGGCTGGACAGCTAAAGGCACAGGCTGCTCACCTCAGTCGCTCCTCACGACCCTCCTGTCTCCAGTTCTGTCTCTCTTCACTGCGCACTGTTCTGCATCTCATTCTCTTCCATCTCTCCACCGCATGCTTGGTCATCTTAGCGGTACCCAGGTGGGACCTCTGGGGTCTTCCACCTCACCCTCACCGCACCGTGGCTGACAGGGTCACTTGGCGTCCACTCATGTCATTTATCTCTCGGTTTTTTGTTTGTTTGTTTGATTTTTGAGACAGGGTCTCATGTAGTCCGGGGTGGACAAACTACTCTTTGTGGGGACTTGGATTCCTTCTCCTCCTGCCTTCAGTTCCAGAGTGCTGGGATGACAATTCATTACATGAGGTTTATGCAGGGCTGGGGATTAGACCCAGGGTTTTCTGCATGCAAGGCAAGAACTCTGTCAACTGAGCTACAACCCAGCCCAGCTTTCATTATGTCTTGTGACACCCTTCTATCTGGGCACTCTTGTTTGTCCTAGTTCTGTAAAATGTACTGGACAACTCTTCCGCAATGTCCACTTGCCTCTGGCAAACAGCATCTTTTAATTTTTTTTTTTAAATCTGTGTGGATGACTATTTTTCCTACATGAATGTCTGTGTACTACATGCATGCCTGATACCAAAAAAGTCCAGAAGATGGGTCCAGATCCCCTGGGACTGGAGTTATGGACGACTGTAAGCAGCTTCATGATTGTTGGGAATCAAACCCAGGTACTCCGGGAGAGCACTCAATGTTCTCGTATCTGCTGAGTTCTCTCTCCAATCCAGTCTTACGGCATCTTGGCAAATAAATGCCTCCCAATTAAAATAGATTCATTCTGTGGTAAAGCTGCCCCCACCCTAAAAACCACACAGAAGGACTTGTTAAGTAAACAATAAATAATTGTAATATATCTACATTCCTTGTATGCATAGTAATTTATGTTCCATAGTAAGAACTATGTTCCACGAAGTAGACATGGGGTAGAACTGCATAGCCTCTGCTATGTTTGGGAGGATGATAGATAGATCTTTGTTTTCCCTTCATGCTTATCCTGGGAACTCTCCTTTTTAATGACTGGCTAGGGTTAATCTGATCAATTAATTCTCAAGGCTGGATTGATAGACATAAACAAGTTAAAATTTTAAATAAAAAAACTAGCTTGAGCATCTGGCCTCAGCCTTCTGAGGAGCCCCACAGTCTGTCTGGGGAACTTGAGGTGATAGAGAAGGCGGTACTGTTGATGCCCTCTGCTGCTGCTGGCTTCCTAACCAGTGTGTATCATGGCATGTCTAATCAGACTATGTCTGATCAATTCTCCCATCAGACGTAGGTGTTCTTGGTGGCTTTGTTTTGTCTGAGGTAAACAATGGAGGTTTCAGTGACGCTAAATGATTGAGCCGAGACCACTTAGCTGGTAACACGGTGAACCCAAGAAAACATTCCAACTCCAAACACAAGCTTTGTGCCGTGCTACCTTGATTCTATAATGGTGGATCAGATTTTCACACTGTTACACCCACATTCCCACAACAAGGCTGCTAAGCTAGCTGTATTTGCCTATTTCCTGGAAGAGGAAAACTGAGGATCCAACTTATGCTATAGGTGTAAGTCAGCAAGAGAAGGCCAAAATCACAATTACTGATCTGGGGTTATCGTTCCTATTTCTGAAGAGTCCAGGTGCTGCTGTCTTTGGGGGCTGGAGGACATCAGGGTTCTTTTAAAGGTGGAGAAGGGAGCAGCAGCTTCTGCAAATGTCATATGGCCGGAGCTCCAGGAGAGACACTGCAAGGCACAGTCGTAGCTCCTTGGGCACTGAAACTCTCCAGTAGGATTTGTCCCAGCATATGCTGCATGAAGACATCCTCTTTCCCTCTCCCTCCTTCTCACTGCTTCTGAAATGCGTTTGCTTAGAGGAAGCTACAGACATCACAGGGTCGTCTCATCTTGAAAGAAAAGCCCACGTGGAGGCCCTGGCCCAGCAGGTCACGGCTCCTGGTCCTCACAGTGGAAGGACAGAGACTCCCAAGAGTTGTCCTCTGACCTCCACACGTGTACTGTGACACACACACACACACACACACACACACACACACACACACGACAAGAACAAACTAGCATTGGAAAGGGGACAGTTTGTCTATCAGGTTGTCTAGATGAATCATAAGCTCTTAGAGTTCTATGGAACCAGAAGAAATGAGAAGAGTCTTTGTTAACAGGTCACGTGTGTGTGTGTCTGTGTGTGTGCTCTGTGTGTGTCTGTGTATGTGTGTCTGTGTGGGTGTCTCTGTGTGTGTGTGTCTGTGTGTGTCTGTGTGTGTCTCTGTGTGTGTGTCTGTGTGTCTGCTCTGTGTGTGTGTCTCTGTGTGTCTGTGTGTGTGTGTCTGTGTGTGTGTCTCTGTGTGTCTGTGTGTGTGTGTCTGTGTGTCTGCTCTGTGTGTGTGTGTGTCTGTGTGTCTGCTCTGTGTGTGTGTCTGTGTGTGTGTGTCTGTGTGTGTGAGAGAGAGAGAGAGAGACTCTGTGTGTATGCATGCATGCCTGGACGATTCTGAGACACCAAAATCCTGTAATGACTGCCCAAGTCTTTAGACAATCTCCATTCCTTCCATCAGTAGAGCAGAACAAAGGCCCTGCTGAGTCGTGTCTGAAGTTGCTTCAGACAGAAGCACAGGAAAGTCACTTGGGAACTGTTCCAAATGGAGCCCTGTGATGATTCAAGTGTGACCTCTTACCCAGAAGCAAGACAGTGGGGAAGTGACCAAGAAGGACCAGATGCAGCACCATGGCCAAGTATGGGGTGCCACAGAAGGTCCCAGGTGACTGCTTCAAACCTGTCTCAACTTGCCACCTCAGACAGATCCCTTCTTGCTTCTGGCTCTGTTTTCTCATCCATGAAATGGGGTTGGGGACCCTCCCCAAGGCATCTCTGCACAGGCTGTGTCCTCCCCTTGGACGAGTCTAACTCAGGTCTCTGTCTTTGCTCCCACAGACACTCTCCCTCTGTGGCTCTGCCAGCTCCTGGCGGAGCAGAGCTCTCGTGCTGTTTTTCCTCCTCTCCTTGGAGAAGACCTCCGCATCATATACTGCCAAGATCAAACGTGGGTCACCCTGCTAAGCAGTTCTTCCTGACGATCATTCTTGGGGACTGAGGGTTGGAATGAGAGGCAAGGGCTGGAGTTGGTTGACCCTGCTGGATTCAGGGTCACAGAGAGCTACCTCTGTTTACCAGTTGATGGTTTCCTTCACCTGTTGGTGAAGGATGGGAGGAGGTGGGAGGGAAGATTCAAGAAACAGAATTAACCCAAATTCTGGTTGGATCAGAATCTGGGATTGTGGGGAGCAGAGAAAACCCTTTCTTCAGTGCTTTCTATAATGGGATTGTTGCCCTGTTGAAAGTCAGGATGGGGAACAGAGTGAGGACATGCTCTTTGGGCCTGGGAGACACTGGTTCTGTCTTAAACACATTAAAACAAATGCTCTTGAGAGCCTCTTAGATGGCCTTTCCTCAGGTAACTGTGAACAAAGGTCTTCAGCTCAGAAGAGAGGGTGGGCTCAGGGGAGAGACACCTGAACTAGTCAGAATCATGGGAAAGGAAGGATGTGTTAAGCCAAGAAGAGTCTGGGAAGCTCAGGAGACACCTGAGACCAGGAAATGTCGAAGAGTCCCTTGGGTGTGTGGACAAAAGGTAAGTGACTAATGAGCCATCCGTGGAGGAAGGAGGGCTCAAATGGCAAGGTAACAAGGTGGGCAGAATGCATGAGAGCAGACCTACACTGAGGCTGAAGTGTCCCTGGGGAGCAGGAGGGAGGGTGGGTAAACACTAGAGATGGGGGACTGGACTTTATAATCTCGAAGTGTCCCTGTCTTGATCTCTGTGAGGCAATTCACAGATTCATTATCTGTGTGGCTTTTCTTGTGCTTCAGTGTAGCATCCAGGGGCCTGCTTCAGGACTGCCTAGGGCATCTCTAAAACACAGAATAATGCTGCGTTATAGAGATTCTGACTTAGTTCATAGTCCACAGTTTCTGAATGTTTCACAAATGATTTCACTGTACAATCCAGACGAGAGCCAGGCCATCCTTGCTGGGTTGGTACCTTACAAAGCCAGACTGGGCTTCTGAGGTGAGCCTTGTAAGCCCCAGACTCCACCTAATTTACCGTGTTATCCTACCTGATCTAATTCTCTGAACTTACGAAGCCAGGAAGCCGATACTGATATGTGAACCTTCTACAGTTGCAAGGTTTTAAAACCCAAGAAGATCTGTGCTCTGTGGTTAAATCCTGATCATAGCTTCTCAGTTCAGAGCCGCGGAGCCCTGTGCTAGCTGCCTGCTGCTATGGAATCTCTATCAGGAGGTCAGGAATCTGGCGTGGTGCATCTAGATTTTCCTTTCAGATTCGCACCAGACAGAGAGCAAAGTGCCAGCCGGGGCTGCTGTTCTCATCTGGGTCCTCTTCTCAGATCACAAGTAATATAATCGTTCTTACAATCTTTTGGTCTGAGGCTCTCTCATTTCTATAGTGATGCCAGCTTCTAGAAGCCACCCTCACTTCCTGGCACATGGCACTCTGCCATGGTCAAAGCTGCTGAAATAGCCTGCTGGAACTTTCCCACAGTTTCAATCTCGCTAACTTCTCTACCAATCAGGGAACCCTGCTTTTAAAGGACCTGTTGATAGGGCTTGAACTGTACCCACGAGGTCCCTCTTACCAGTGCTCAGATTAGTGCTTGTCTCAGTAGCAAGAGCAGGAATATGGAGGCACAGCTCTAGAATTCTGGCCACTACAAACCATGAAGCCTGGAAGTCATGCCGTGTGCTTAAAAGGAAGGCTGCCACCTCATAACTGGCTTTGACCCAGGGCCCAGCACTGTAGGGCATGTATTTATTACAGGCATCATCCCACAAAATTTCAACAAACAGACTCTAAGGTTGAGATCGCCATTCTCATCTTACAGTTGGGAAACTTGTGACTCTGACAACAAAATATATTTTCAAATATTATTTGTCTAGCTAGCTAATGTTGGAGCCAGGCTAGCAAGACCAGATGTGTCGGACTGCACTTCCTTCCCTCCTACAGTTGCTAACTCGAAAGCCCTGCAACTGAACCTACACTGGTCCTGAGTTCATACAAGATACCAGGAACCAAAGTCAGGGCTCCTGCCTCCTAGGTCCACTGCCTTTCCTCCACTGCTCTTCAGTGTCTTCTGTCAATGTCAATGTGGTGCTGGAGGCAGGGGAGTTAGGTGCTGAAGTCATCAGGTCACACAGAAATAGCTCTTTTTTAAAAGACAAACAGCAATGTCTCTGCCTAGTTATGTGCTTTGGAACCCAAGATGGCTTTCCTTTGGCTACCTGAGCACGAATTCTTGATTCTGCTCCACTGGAAGGGAGCAAGCGTGCAGGGTGACACACGTGGCTGCTGGGTCTAAGCAAGGGAAGCACTGAGAGTCAGGTAGATGAAAAGGCAGAGATCCCCACAGCTCTCCTCTGCTACGGGGGAAAGGGGCTGGAATGCTTAATTAAGGACGTGAGCTTGGCCGTTTCTTTCTTTGCAGAAAAAGTGGGAGTGTGTCCTAGGAAGCGGTTGGAATGCAGAAATCCGAGTTTGAGCTCCTGCAAAACAGACTTCAACTGTGAGGCACATTTCAAGTGCTGTCATTTTGCCTGCGGGAGGAAGTGCATGGATCCTTATGAAGGTACTGGCATCCAGGTGGAGGCACAGGCACACTTTGAGCTTGCCCACTTCTTGCTATGTCCAGAGCTAGTTCAATAATTCTCTTAGAAGACCGGACCAAAAGGCCAGAGTTTATGCCTTCCTCATTCCGTAATTCAACTCTCCGCATTTAAGCCCAAGTCATGTGTCCAGGTGGATGATCCAAGCAATTGATATTGGTGCTAGATTTTTTTCATTCGATCATTCATAAATATCTAGGGCCCACTCGATGTTCGTTATGTGAGGGCTATCATTTGCAAAATCAAACTTCATTCAAATTGTTGTTCGAGAAATGAAGCATCCCTCAGTCCAGATGCTTGGATCATTTTTGGACTCTTTGGCCTTAAAAAGTGTTTCCTAGAAATACCAAGTATTCAGCATCCTGTATGTCAGGGACCAAGCATTTAATAGAGATTCATTCATTTCTTTCTTAATTTCATACCTAATTAATTTATTAAGATAGGGGCCAGGCAGAATGCCATGTATCTTTAATTCTAGCACTTGAGAGGCAAAGATGGGTGGATCTCTGTGATTTCCAGGACAGCCTAGTCTACATAGAGAAACTGTGTCTCAAAAAAAGCAACACACACACACACACACACCACACACACACACACATACACACACACACACACACACACACACACACACACAGTGTTGACTGTTCGTATATCAAAACTAAAAATACATGGAGGATGTGAAGAGAGACACGGAAGCAGAGGCTTGGCTGGACGGAGAGGCCTGTGAAGCCGCTGTCTAGAAGTGTTCTAAGAGGCCAGGCTCTCTGTTAACTCAGAGCCATATGAGATCCATCAATGTTTGCTTTCTTTGCCTAAGACTAACATAAATACACTTCAGTTTATTGTTTATGACCAACACGGAGAATGTTTACCACAGATAATCATGAGGTGTCTAGCTCAGTAAGAGTCTGTTTGAGTCTATTATGGGATTTGGGTTTGGTTTAGGTAACTCGTAGAGGACTAGACAACCCTCAGAGAGGGTTAGCCTTAGATTGGGTATTGTCCAAAAACGAATTAATTCTGTAGCTGAGCATCTATCTCGGTGGCTTTTATCTTTAACAAGGGCATTTAGGATGAGGAGAAAGCTGTAATCAGAGGGATGGTAGCTGTTCATTTTAGCTAGAAGTTGGAAGAACTGAGTCAGGCTTTAAGCAGAAGCAAGAGGATAGTGGGCTTGATGATTGCAGGTAAAACAGCTTTAATTACATTAATTGCTAGCACCACTGCTTCTGCAATTGCTTTGACACAAGAAGTTAAGACAGCTACTTTTGTTAATCATTTAGCAAAAAATGTTACTAGTGTGTTGAATATACAAGAGGATTTAGATAGGCCTTTGGAAGAACAGATTGATGATCTTTAGCCTATTCAAATTATTGGAAGAAGGTTCAGAGTTTAAGAGTAAGGAGCCATCTCAAGTGTCTCTGTTGTCTTGCTTTGGTCTTCCTTTATCATGATCTTAGAGTAACAATGGTGTGGGTTGCCCTACGAGGTGTGTGTGTGTGTGCGCGCGCGCGTGTACTGAGTAGGAGAACAACGTGATATCCCTGTGTCATATTCAGTATTAAACATCAAGGATTGTGCTTGTTCCCCCTGCATCCCAGGCACTTTGTTGGGCACTCTGGGTAAAGTTCCCGAGCACATCTCTTGTCCTCTCAAAGCTGAAGGCAATGTGGAAGAAACACTTTGCATCCAAGTGTTTCTGTGTGCTGTTTGTAATACACTTTGTGAAAGAGCAGCGCTCAGCAGAGCGGCATGGCATCAAGCTCGGATATAGAGCCAGAACTAGCACCTATGTCTTTTTAAAGATTTATTTATATTTTATCTGCATGGTTGACTTTCCTGCATGTCGAGGTCAGAAGAGAGTATCGAGTCCCCTGGAACTGGAATTATAAACAGTCATGTGCCCCCGTGTGGTGCTGAGAATCAAGACTATGTCTTTTAAAAAGAAAAATCAGCAGCCTGGAGAGACGGCTCAAGCAGTTGAAAGCACTTGTGGCTCTTGCAGAGACCTATGTTCAGTTCCAGGAGCTCTGACTCCCTCTTCTGGCCTCAGACGGTACTGCACACACATAATGTACAAACCTCATGAAAGTAGACCACTCAGTACATATAAAATACAGGGGGTAGGGATTTAAAAAAACATTCTACATGTGTCTCTTTTTATTTTGCTGGGGAGGCTGCCATGTTTGTTGAAGTCACTAGACAACATGCAGGAGTGGGCTTCTTCCTTCCACTGTGTGGTCCTGGAGTTACAACTCACGTCATTAGGGTTGGCAACACAGGTCTTTACTCGCTGAGCCATCTCCATGGCTCACCTATGTCGTTTTCCCACTGGCTTTTTCTGTGATGCAGGCTTGTGGCTAGGAACATGACCGTGTCTTTACACTCCTGCTTTGCTTTCTCACCTCAGAACCCTGCATGTTACCCTCAGACGAAGGAAACTGCTCCGACAGTTTGACCCGCTGGTATTTTGACTCCGAGAGGCATAAGTGCAGAGCTTTTGTATACAGTGGATGCCATGGGAATACGAACAACTTCCTCAGCAAGACTGACTGTAAGAACGCTTGCTTGTTAATTGGTAAGACCTATATCCCTAGTAGTCGGAGGGCCTTGCTTAGCTACAAACAGTGGAGTCATAGCCTCAGGCTTTGAGACCAAGCTGCCTTGGGGCCAAACCCTTGCTCTATGGTTGCTGCTTGAGAGGCCTTTGGGTAGCTATTTGCATTCATGACTTTTGGCTGGGGTATACGATGGGGATGTTAACAGTATTTCCTAATGGGGTTGTTGTGACTGAAAACTAAGCTAATGTAAAAAAATGTGAGGCTGGGAAATGAGGAAAAGTTAGCAGACAGGAGGCCTCTGGAAGCCAGGAAGTGGTCCTGTGGGCTGCCCTCTCTCCCCATTCACTTTGGCATGCCCACACAAGGAAGATTAGAGGTCAGGGAATGGCAAGGAGGCATGGTCCTCCCTGCTCAGAGCCGCCTCCCATTCAGAGGTGACTCTCCAAGCAGCCTGCATCGTAATGATTTCCCTCCCTAGTCTTTTGCTGTCTCCAGGAAAACACCTAAGCTCCTTGAACTTCCTTCCCAGGCTCTCCCTCGCTTCCATGTAACACTGAGTAATCTCAGGGCTTTGGCCCCCTCCCCTGTTCTGAGCAACTGGGTACCTGCCTTGGACTTTCTCTTTCCAACAATGGGTTTCCATACTGCTCTCCGGAACGCTCTGATTCTCCTTGGCCCTTATTCGAGGAATTATTCCTACTCTTCCAGCTCTTGACTTTACACCTGAACTGTGTGTGACTTCTCTATTCTTGAAGTCTCCCACAACTCCTCCCCCAAAATGAGACAATACACATAATGTACTCATAAACATCGGGTCCATGGAGCCTGAGACCCGGGTCTAACCCTTTGGAGGAAGATGCTTTTCCTCACATCAACCTGTAGAGCATCATGCTGAGGAACACTTTTGAAGAAAGCCCAGACAAGTCAGTTCTAGAACCCCAGGGGGTAAGTGTAGACCTGGGGGGTGGAGACTGTGGTGAGGGTGGAGCCTATAGACTCATTCTTCAGTGTAGTGATCGGTGCCACTCCTGCTGGGAGCCACTGATACACAGTGGGGTCTGTGCACCAAATAACCTGGATTAAAATCTTACTCCCCTCTGTCCACGGAAAGTTTCTTACCTTTCTGATTCTGGAAGAGCAAGCAGCTCACTGAGTTGTTGGCAGGATTCTGTGCCTTCAAAAATATAAAGGGTGTGGCATGCTGGCTCTTCATGATGTGGCTCACTAAATGACAAGTGAGAAATGACTGTGGATCTTCAAAATGTGTGTGTCAGTCTTGGGATAAGTGAGGTTGACTTATTGGCACTGTATTTCTGCCTTAAGGTTCGTGAGTCAAGCTAGGAGCTATTCTATCATCAATACTTCATGGTTTTATTTGTTTGGTCTCATTCGGTAGCCCAGGCCAGCCAGGAACTTGTAGTAATTCTCCTGTCTCAGACATCCAAGTGCTGGATTTGTAGGTGTGCATCACCCTACCTGGCTCTGTCACTAACACTTTGCAGATGAGGAAGCAGAGTTAGAACAATCCTCTTAGTTGCCTAGGGATGGACAGCTGGTAGAGGGTGGAGCCGAATTTTAATCTCTCACCCTTGCTGTATCTGAACAGCAAAGACAACGTTATGGCTCGGCTTTGAAAAGTTAGGGCCACGTGCTTCCCTTTCTGGAGGGCTCTAAAGAATCGTGGGGCCACGGACTCAAGAAAGTAGCTGTAAATACCTTTGCCAGTCAAACGTGAGGCATGTATGCTGCTCTAATTCCAGCACTTAGGAGGGAGAGGCAGAAGGGTTAAGAGTTCAAGGCTGGTGTTCGCTACACAGTGGGTTGGAGACTAGCCCATGCTACATTAGACTTTGTCTCAAAACACTAAAACAGAAACAAAATCAGGAATAAATTAGAAAAAAAAAACCTCCTGTCTGAATCTGACCTAAAAAGAAAGGAAGGAAGGAAGGAAGGAAGGAAGGAAGGAAGGAAGGAAGGAAGGAGAAAGGAGAGAGAGAGAAAAAATGAATGAACTGAAGGGGCCCCAGGGAGGGAGGTATGTATGGTGTTTTCTCCCCATTATAACTCAAAGGGAAACTTACACACATATGGGGCCCGTAATGGCCCCCTTCGTGGCCTGCAGAGGAGATGCCCTTACATTCATAGGCAGCAGGAACTCACACATCTTCCCTGTCTAGGGTTAGGCTTTGGCCAAGGTGACTGTATATCACAAACCTGAAGATGAGGTAGCTTCCTTTATTTCATAAAGAAATTGAGCTTATTGAAGACTAGGGCATTATTATTTATTATTATTATTATTATTATTATTATTACTTATACAGTGTTCTCCCTGCACATATGCCTGCAGGCCAGAAGAGGGCACCAGATCTCATTATCTGATGGTTGTGAGCCACCATGTGGTTGCTGGGAATTGAACTCAGGACCTCTGGAAGAGCAGTCAGTGCTCTTAACCTCTGAGCCATCTCTCCAGCTCCTAGGACTGGGGCTTTAACGTGGTGGACTTCAGACATTAAGCTCACTCTATTGCATGGAGTACTCCATGTTTTTGTTTCTCCTCTGCCTACTGGAGATCACCCCTGAGAAGAGCTTTCTGAAGGGCAGTGTAGTGTGGTGGTGGGGTGCCATAAAACTCACCTCTGTTCTTGTTCCAGTGAAGAAGGGACAGTGCCCACTGTTCCCTTTCCAAATGCGAATGGAGTGCCCAGCCGCCTGTATGAATGACATGGATTGCCCAGAGAAGGAGAAATGCTGTGAGTCCAGGTGTGGATTTATCTGTGCCCGAGCCTGGCTAGGTAAGGACCGCGGGCAAGCCTCTAGGAGTCTGTGGGGATATGCCACAGGTGACATCCTGTGGTGGCATCAGTACGCCATGGAATGGGTGAGGTCAGCATCACAGAGCCTGAACTCACTGGGTGGTCTAGCCTGGTCTAGATCTCACTATATAATCAAGCTGACCTCAAACTTATCATCCTCCTGAGTACAACACCTGACTGCAAGGTGGAGACGTCCCTTGAGATTCAGATGCCTCTTGCTGAGGCTTCTCAGGAGACTTCTTAAAATGTCCAACCAGAGCCCTCTAGACATTTGTGCTGATCTTCAAAGCCTCTCAGGAGTGTAATCATTCTCTGTAAATGTGAAAAGAAAAAAACTTACTTGGGTGGTGGTGGTGATGCACACCTTTAGTCCCAGCACTCAGGAGGCAGACAGGCTGATCTCTGTGAGTTCAAGGCTAGCCTGGTCTACAGAGTGAGTTTCAGGACAGTCAGGAAACCAGAGAAACCATGTCTTGGGGGGAAAAAACCCAAAAAGCAACAACAAAAAACTTTGTTTGTTCCTTGTCTTCATTCTTCAGTGACCACAAATTGGTGTCTTCTGATAAGTGTGCATATATAGATACACGTGTACACACACACGCACACACACACAAGAAAGAAAGAAAAAACATGAGGGTTTCCAAATTTGTGTCAGATTATTTCCAAGTATTTCAAAGTTAATTGTCTTATTTTACTTTGCTAAGTCAAAACAGGCTTCTGCCCAAGGAAGCCCATAGTGTGTTCTAAGATCGATAAGCCCAAGTGCCTGCAGGACAGTGACTGTCCCCTGGATGAGAAGTGCTGCACACGCTGCGGGCTGAAGTGCTTGGAGCCCAGACACTGAACAGTGAGTGGGGAAAGTTCCGTTGTCACAATGGTGCATTATGGGTAGCACAAAATAAGGCTCTCACTTCTGTCTTATATCCAACTACAGCCACAGATGATATTGACAACTAGACAGTTATGACAATACTTCTAGGCCTGCTGTGACACACACACACACATATATACACACACATACACATACATACACACACACATATACACATACACACACATACACACACATACATACACACACACATATACACATACACACACATACACACATACACATACATACACACACAGACACACACACACATATATATATATATACACACACATACACACACATATACACACAATACACATACATACACACACACATACACATACATACACACACACATACACACACACATATATACACATACACACACATACACATACATACACACACAGACACACACAGAGACACACACAGACACACACAGAGATACACACATACACACACACAAAGTTTTACTTGTATTTATGTAACTGTGAGTGTATAGATGTGTTTGTGTGTACCTTTGGAGGCCAGCAGAGGGCGTCAGATTCCCTGGTGCTGGACTTAGAGGGTTGTGAGCCACCTGTTGTGGTTGGTGGGAACCAAACTTGCCTTGCAAGCATCAGGACCTACGCTTGATCTCCAGAACCTATGTAAAAATGTAGGGTGTGAAAGAGTGTGCTTAGAACCCCAGAGCTGAGGAGACAGGCAAGGGAGGCTCTCTGAGACCACTGGCTAGCGTAATCAGTGAGCTTCAGGCCAATGAGAGACCTTGTCTCAAAAACAAGGTAGATGATACATGAGGAACAATACCCAAACGTGTATTCATACATGTGTGCACACATGTACACACAACAGCACACACAGATCTGCCTGCACACACATGTACCCACATATACATGTAATGTACACACACACACACACACACACACAAAGTATATCACATCCTGTTGACTAAAAAAAGATGCAGGAGTCTCTCAGCTGGGTTTGATGGCACATGTGTCCTGCCACTCAGAAGACTGAGGAGTGAGGCGGGATTGCTGTTTACTTGCCTTCCTTCCACAGCTCATTCTTCCACAGCCCTTCCCTTCCCTTCCCTTCCCTTCCCTTCCCTTCCCTTCCCTTCCCTTCCCTTCCCTTCCCTTCCCTTCCCTTCCCTTCCCTTCCCTTCCCTTTTCCCTTCCCTTCCCT